GCTGTTGGTACAATCTATCCACACTTGTGATATATCTACTCTATACTGAAGACTCACTGTACTGTGTCTACTTAGCATTGATCACACCATATTGACAATACCAACTGTCAGTGTACTAAATCATATGATATAACAATTCTATACTGGGCAATGATAAAACAAGGGATATAGAAGTGTATAATAGCTGAGCTGTGCTTAGTAATATACTTGACTGTGATCTGTAATGCATACCTTTTGGTACACCTGAAACAGCATAACTTTTTTTCCCATCAGCTTTTATTCTGTAGTAATATCTTGTATCTGGTTTGAGACCTTCATCCTCAGCACTATTGTCGCCATTAAGTGGAACCTCACGCCATTCAGTCTCCCCTACCATCCGGCACTGAAGTTTAACTTCTGATGTATGTTTCTTCCATTGGATAGTCAATTGTGTTGCAGACACTGACTTGATGGCACAGATAGCAGGTGTATTGTGTGAGTGATCTGCAATATTAATGGTTTATTAAATGGGTAGTTATTATATTTTACAAAACACTTTGTTGTTTGTTTGTTTGCTGTTAAGTATTGCATGGGAGAGTAAAACTGCTGGAATGAGAACCACACCAAGCATAGATTTTGTTGTACCTAATAAAATAGTTCATGTGTAAGATTGATATATGCATAATATCCACCCGCATTTAACGTAACAATATTATACCGTTCATTGTGTTATACCATTCAACTATTCATTGTTCATATCTAACACTATTGACAACATGACATCAGCTAAGATGTCTTTGCTGTCCACTAATTATATCAGCACTTGCATATATCTGTAGTATAACCATGAATACCAGGATTAGAACATTTTATGCCCAACATTTGTTGATTGGCAGAACAAACCAGTGTTCAATGTTATAAGATACATGTATGTTTCAATTAAAACATCAACAATTAGTAGTAAGTGTACTATTCGTAAACTACACATTACAGTAATTGGTAATGTTAGATTCCCACTCTGCAAATACATGAAATATCACTCTCAGAACAAGTAAAAAACATAAAATGTGATAAATTGTTTCTGTTTTAGTTTTAAAATATGAGAACAAACAAAACCTCTTAACTCAGTGAGTGTCTACTTTTTACATGTATAGCCTAATTTATGAGGCTCACTTGACTTATTCTGCAGCTAATTTCTCATTATTCATTCACAATATTTGTATAAATTGGTGAGTATGGTTTCACAAAGTGGGAATGTAACTTGCATTTTATCAAGAGTTATGGATACTGTAACTTTTTCATTTCATTGTTAATAAAAGAAACATACTTACTTGGGTCAGTTGAGTCAAACCAGAATGACAAGTCATGATATTTCCATGGTGTCCCTTTATTGCATCGGCGTTTTACATTACAACCACACTTGTACCGCACATCTTTTGATGAACCAATAACAACACATCCATCATCTCTTTATATTTG